CCGACCAACAATTTTGACGGATCCGGGGGGCATAGACAAACAAGTTCGTAAGGTAATAAGCGGATTTGCACAGTGCTTGTAGTGGATAGCCGAATTTTTGCGACTTGGGCGCTTTAAAGAGGCTATGTAGCCTTAAGGTCGACTTCCTTGTCTGGACTAGGTCTAGACAACCACGCGAGACTACAAATTATGAGAAATTAGCATTTTTAGAGCCGTTAACAAGGAAAGATTCGAGCGAAATCCGGAAGCAAGTGATGCGCAAGTTGAGCGCCACATCACTGTCTCGATCCCTTCCATTCCCAAATGATCTCTGCTAGCCTGCCCCTTCCATTCCCAAATGATCTCTGTTAGCCTGCCCCTTCCATTCCCAAATGATCTCTGCTAGCCTGCCCCTTCCATTCCCAAATGATCTCTGCTAGCCTGCCCCTTCCATTCCCAAATGATCTCTGCTAGCCTGCCCCTTCCATTCCCAAATGATCTCTGCTAGCCTGCCCCTTCCATTCCCAAATGATCTCTGCTAGCCTGCCCCTTCCATTCCCAAATGATCTTTGCTAGTGAGATTCCGTTCTGACCCCAATTCCGCTGGGATTCATCGCGCAGGGGGAGGAGCTTTTTTTAAGGGTATCTGGAAGGGGAAGGGGGTTGACCCGCTCCCCCTCCACTCCCATTAATAATTGCAACGTGCCCCGAGGGCATTTATAGCCCTACTCTCCTTTCCACGGCTAGCCGCGACCAACGATGTCATTGCCTCGATGACTATGCGAGAAACCCCCGCAAAAGGCACGGGAATAATGGACCGTCGGGGGTTAATAATAAGTAGGGGATGCTTTAAAGGGAAATTGTGCCTAAAGCCTCAGATTTTTTAGCGTTTAGACGTCAGTGATATAAAAAGCTGGCAATGTTAGATGCCAAGCTAATTTTAACGAAGGTGTGAGAGCGAGAGAGAGAGCGAGAGAGCGAGAGAGAGAGAGCGAGAGAGAGAAAATGAGAGAGAGAGGAGAGAGGAGAGAGAATGAAAGAGAGAGTGAAACATAGAAAGAGAGATAGGTAGATAATTACCAGGAATACAGGCCCTTTAACTTGCAACCTTTTTTACAATTGCCCTGGTGCGCAAACACAAAATTCCCGGAATAGGCTATGTGGCGGTGGTGACCGGGTTGTGAATCAGAGAGTCGCCTCTTTCTTTCTCTCTCTCTCTCTCTCGCCTCAATCCCACCAGCCAGCCATTTCCCCCCAATACACACCACCGCTACACTCTTGACCTTTTACGGGCCGAAAAGAGGGTGGGGGGTGGCCTACACTAGAGGTGTTGCCAAGATGAGGGGAAGGCGGCATGAAAACAGATAATTCAAGCGGAAGCTAATTAGATCGAAACTAAGAAAAACATGTTTAAAGGGGCTACAAAGTGCTAGAATCTGCCCCTTCTATCGACTAGGTCTAGACAGCTACGCAACCTTCCAAATTACAGCTGTGGAACTCATTTTGTTAGCTCTCGGAACTACCGTCTAGGTAAGGCTGGAAATGATGCGTGAAGCGTAATCTGGTGTAGCATGTAGTCGTCTAGACCTAGCCGATAGGAGGGGTCGCTTCTGGTGTTTCCTAGTCCCTTTAAAGGGATGGTGCCACCAAACACTTGGAGTGCTGTAAATGCAACCCCCACCCATGCTCCCCCGAAAATGACCTTTCCGGCTACGGTTTCACGCGGATTATATGGTGGGGGAGAGAGAGAAGCGGGTGGAGCCGGATTATGCTGACGCTCAATCCAGGCACATAGCCCCCAGCAAGCCAAAAGCCATATTTTCTGATCGGGTTCCCGTAAACCCGGCCGGCATATGTTGCCATCTCGATTCATCAAGGTATTAACGGGACAGAGAAATGTAATAATCTACCCTCTGAGTCAACTAGGTCTAGACAACCTGTGATACGTCTAGACCTCGGATTTTCGTCTAAAAGGTTACCACGGAGGGCGTCAGAAAGATTGTAAAATGGCTATCTAGGCCTAATCGAGCGATATGGTCGATTTTGGGGCATCATGCTCCCTTTAAAGGTCTGGGTAAGCAGGCTGGCAAAGACCATTTGGGGGCAAAACCGGAATGCGGCGATCTAGCCGGGATCCTTGAGGAAATTTCAGCAAGCAGGCGAGCGATAAGCGAAAAAGAGAGAGCGCGAGGGAAAGAAAGAGAGAGCGTGATAGCAAGATCAAGCGAGAGACAACCGAGATACATCCTAAACTTGTAAAAACGCCAGCCCATAGCCATTCATTCCCCCTGGCACGACCATGCGGAGACGGGGACGATCACAACTCGTCGTGAGGAAGAGGTGAGAGAGAGAGAGAGAGAGAGAGAGAGAGAGCGAAAGAGAGAAAGAGAAAGAGATCCGCGAGAATTCGAAACGCAGATTTCGGACCTTTTGAGGGAAGAGGGGGCGGCGAGCAGCCAATAGCCCCAACCACCCAAAACGGATGGGGGTGACCCTCCTTTAAAGGGGCGGATGGAGAGAGAAGAAGGATATTTGATTCCCTAATTACTTGCCCGGGGGCACAACCACCACCACTATGGGCCCACCCACAACCACCCACCAAACATAGCTATTCAGGCATAACAAGGGGTCGGCCGGGAATTGGGAAATGATTCCCAAATGCTCGCTGCTAGCCTGCCCCTTCCATTCCCAAATGATCTCTGCTAGCCTGCCCCTTCCATTCCCAAATGATCTCTGCTAGCCTGCCCCTTCCATTCCCAAATGATCTCTGCTAGCCTGCCCCTTCCATTCCCAAATGATCTCTGCTAGCCTGCCCCTTCCATTCCCAAATGATCTCTGCTAGCTTGCCGACGCGGTTTTGATGCGAAAATTCTCAAATCGACTCTGCTAGCCTGCCTACTCGAGGGGTTTTAGGCTGACCGGAAATGATCTGAGCTAGGCGAGGCGAGGCTTCTAGTTCCCAAAGGATCTCTGCTAGCTCTGGGCCTAGGCTTAGCTTTGGTCTAGGCTTAGGCTTGGGTTCAGGCTTGGGCATAGGCTTATATTAGGCTTAGGTTTAGCTTACGCTTAGGCTTATGCTGAGGCATAGGCCTCAGAAACCTTCAAGCTTATGTGAAAAGCGACAGCGAAACCGAAACTGAAAAATGACAGACGTATGCAAAACTGTGCCCTGGCTGGCTAGATTGGACCACCGTGCCCGCGGGGGAGGGTGAACTAGCAGGCGAAAGGATGGCTGCATACAGGCAGACGAGAGAGAGAGAGAGAGAGAGAGAGAGAGAGAGAGAAAGAAAGAGCGGGAAAAGCAAGAAAGAGCATCTCGAACCGGTCCCCGCCCTCATGCCCATATTCGGCTGCTTGCCCCCCGGAGCGGGGGAAGTGGTGGTCTGCAGCGGAAGGTGAAAGGGGGGTATTACTTGGTAGTCGAACGCTGGTCTAATGGTTGTCTTTAGGGAGGAACTACGTATTTCCTCAAGGATCCCTGCTAGCCTGCCTGAAGCTATAAAGCGACGAAGAAGAAGTAAACCTGATAAGCTAGCCAATGCCTAAAAATTTTGCTCGAAAATCCCTGTAATGTTGCTCGAGAAAGCACGATCTCACGAAAAACCCTCAATTCCGGAAGTATAGCTGCTAGTTTGCTGTTTTTGTCTCCCTAAGATCACAATTTTCCCAAGAATCTCTGCTAGCCCGCCGAAAGCTATAAATCGCTGCATCTAAAAGCGCCGACAAACATCTAAAAGCGCAAGGTAGCGAGATCTAAAGAGGACATTCCTCAAGAATCTCTGCTAGTTAGCTTTAGAAAAAAAAAACGTAAAACCACGTGAAAGAAAGATTTCCTGATCACCAAAAGTTTCAAAGGCGATCGACCGTTTTTTGATTAACCCTTGATTCGGTTATTCCGGCCAATTCGATGAGATTTTTCGGTATCCCCTAAACGGAAAAATATGCTCCACAACTTCGCACCGTTATTTTTTATTTCTTTTCACATATAAGATTTTTAGCGTTTTTAAAAAAGTTAAAATCATACCCTTTGCCTGGATTCCCCTAAGCGCCTAGTGACGTTGTTGGGTTGCGAGCGGATTTTGTGGGACGGATTCGGAATTTTTGCGATTTCTCCGCTATTTTTGTATATAAACTTTTTCTAAATAGCTGCTCTAAAATACGTTTAGATTATTAGAAAGGAATTCACTCTTTCAGCTTTTTAAATCTGAATCGATGAAATACGCAACTTTTTTGGACTTTAGACTGAAAATGCCGCTACTTTTTGTTACAAACTTTTTCTAGAGCTAAATCTCTGTTCTAAGATCTGTTTAAATGAGTGAAAACGTTTTCACTCTCAGATTTTAATTGAAACGTTGCCGTAGAGATACCGACTTTTTTTGTGTTTTCCTTCTCACTTACTCACCGGGATGAGTTCCCCAGCAATATTGTCAATCAATTTCCACGCTACCTATTGGTATTTTATTAAAAGAGATTTTTCGGCGTAAAATGCTGAATTTGACTGAAATTTCTTGCTAAGTTTGTTCATAGTTTCACCCTCCAAAAAAAATTACTAAAAAAATTTCAATAAAATCACTAAATAAATCTAAAACACTTAAAAAACGTGAAAGCCCGAGAAAGTTCCTACCCCGATAATGCCAAAATTAAAAATATGGGTTTTATTTTTACTTCTAGTAAATGCTTTTTTCTGAATTTAGATTTCTAGAATGTGATTCAGGCTTGATGCTAGCCCTTTTCCGGGGCACTGCTGTTTCCCTTTGAATCGCCTCTCAACCCTGCGTCTCTGGCCCCACCTGCCAATCTAATTTTTCGCGGCCGAACTGCATCATCGTTGCACCGGCTTTACATCATTATGATGAAGGTTTAGGCGATTTGTAAGGACGCTAATAAGTTCTAGGGCCTGGTCTTCACATCCTCTAACACCTCACACTCCTTACACCCTGTGAAATTTCAATTTCTTCGTTTTTGGAAACTAAGAACGTTCTTATTTCCTTTTTCCAGGTAAAAACTTCCCGCCCTTGGCCATGCCAACGATCGGCGTGAAAAAGTCGGTGATCGACCGCCATTTCGGGCGTGTATATAGTGGATTGAATCCTTAAGAAATCAAATTTACTTTTTTTATAGCCGAAGAAGAGTTCGACAACCTGTGCTTCGAGTATGGGCTCGAGCTCGACGAGATTGTAAGAAGGATTTTTTATTCGATTTTTATGTTTTTAGACCTCCGAAAAAGCGGCCGTCGAGAAGGAGCGAGGCGCCGCCGCGGCCGCCAACCTGAGCAACGAGGAGATCTACAAAATCGAGATCCCCGCCAACCGCTACGACTTGCTGTGCATCGAGGGCTTGGCCCGGGCGATGAAGGTGTTCAAGGGGTAATTTTGAACAGCTTTGGTTTTGAAATTCCGCGTTGTCTAGGGAAAAGCAGCCCCGTTACCATGTCGACCAGCCGGCCCAGCTGCATAAGCTGTACGTAAAGAAGGAGGTAGGCTTGTTTTGTCTTTCTGGTTGCTTTTCTAGGCATTTTCTAGGGAAAGGATTTTTTCCTGCGGCTTATGTAAAGGTTCATAAGTGAATTTTCCAGGTAGCCGAGGTCCGGCCCTTCGTCGTGGCCGCCATCCTCAGGGACATCACCTTTGATGCCGATTCCTATGCCTCGTTCATCGATTTGCAGGTTATTTAATTTTGCTAGCAAAACTGCACTGTTCAACTTGTCAATTTTTACAAAAAACTTGGATTTTTCAGGACAAGCTCCACCAAAATATTTGCCGGAAGCGCACGCTGGCATCGATGGGCACCCACGATTTGGATACGATTGAAGGTATCGGATTTTTGAATTAAAGGATAAAATGTTGTTTAAAATGATAAAAATAATTTAAAATTCGTTTCTAGGACCCTTCACCTACACGGCTGAGGACCCGAAATCTATCAACTTTGTCCCGTTGAACCAGACGAAAAGTTACCGCGCCGACGAGCTGTTGAACACCTATGCTGTAATTTCACGATTTTTTTGAAAAATGTTTTTTTTTTCAGACCGACCCCCTCTACGGCCATCTGAAGCCGTACGTGCCGATTATCCAGGATAAGCCCGCGTACCCGGTGATTCGGGACAAGAATGGAAAACTCTGCTCGCTGCCCCCAATTATTAACAGTTGGTTATTATACGTTTTTTGATGCCGCTTTTAGGCGACCATTCGAAGATTTCCTTGAAAACGAAGAACGTCTTCATCGAGGTGACGGCCACCGACCTTCAGAAGGCCGTCGTCGTGCTGGACACGATCGTGGCCATGTTCTCACAGTACGCCAAAAAGCAGTTCACGTACGTTTCTATTTTCCTTATGAACTTTTCGGTAAAATGTTACATTTTTCATTTTCGCCGGTTTATAATGTTTTTCAGTGTCGAGCCCGTCGAGGTCATCTACGAGTCCGACGGCCACAAGGAGGTCTATCCGGTAATTTTTCCTTTTGTAAATGAAAAATTCGAATTCAGAAACTCGCCTACCGTACGCAGCGCGTCACCGTCGACCGCATCAACAACAAAATGGGCGTGAATTTGGACGCACCAAAGATTGGCGACCTGTTGACGCGGATGGGCCTCGAGGCGAGCGTCATCGATGCGAACACGGTGGAAGTGGGTTTTTTAGCAGGAATTTGGTGTTTAAACTTGCACTTGGAGCTTTTGAATTGTTTCTAGAAAAGTCTATTTTATTGGAATTTTTAGGTGACAATCCCCCCGAATCGCCACGACATCCTCCACGAGTGTGACGTCGCCGAAGACGTCGGAATCGCGTTCGGCTACAACAATCTGGTGCCGAAATTGCCGGAGGTAAAAAAATTGGCGTTTTATGACTTTATTTTTATTTTAGTCCAACACCGTCGCGCAACCCTTCGAGCTGAACGCGGTCAGCGACCTGCTGCGCGCCGAGGTGGCCATGGCCGGCTGGACGGAGGCGCTCAACTTTGCGCTGTGCTCTAGGTATATCCGCACTAATTTGCAAGCTTCCCTCACTTTTAGGGATGACGTCTCAACGAAATTGCGGGACCCGGCTGGCTTGGATAGAGCCGTCAAAATCTCGAATCCCAAGACTTTCGAGTTCCAGGTATCGAAATTCAGCAAGCTCTAAATTTTGTATTTTTAGGTGGCACGCACAACGCTGCTCCCCGGTCTTCTAAAAACGCTGGCTTCAAACCGCGACATGGCGCTGCCGTTGAAGCTCTTCGAGTGCCAGGACACGATCCTGAAGGACGACGAGGCGGACACCGGGGCGAAAAATGAGCGCCGGCTCGCGGCCGTTTATTGCAACAAAGCCGCTGGATTTGAGGTATATTTAAATTACGTTTTTCGGTTGAAAGGAATATCTCGCGCGTGATTTTTACTTTGAATCGTCTTTTAGATAATGCACGGGTTCCTGGATCGTGTGATGCGATTGCTCGACGTCAACCCGGCCAAGGACGGCTCCGGCTACCACATCGAGGCCGAAGATGGTATGCCGCTTTTTCAGGCCCTGTAAAAAGTCTTCCAGCTCCCTCCTTCTTCCCCGGGCGCTGCGCCGCCGTCTACGGGCCGAGAAAGGTGAAGATTGGACATGTCGGCGTGCTGCATCCAGAGGTAAAAATCTTGTGATGATTCCGAACTTTTTGGCTTATTTTCGAAACCTCGGGACGCATAATGCCGAAATTTGTAATGTTGAAATTTCCAAATTTTTGGCCTGGCACTTGGGAGATTTTGCTGGAGTTTTTTATGGGAAACCTAGAAACATTCGAAACATTCGAAGTTTGCAGATCACAGAAATTTCGACGTTGAGGATTTCGATATTTTGAGTAATAATCTTTTTTTTCAGGTCCTGGCCGCGTTCGGCATCTCCCTGCCCGTCACCGCCCTCGAAATCAACCTCGAGCCGTTCATCTGAGGCGGAAAGCCATTTGCTTTAAAATATGTACCCGTTCTAATCACCCGCTCCTTTCCAGTCCATATCGCCTGTTGTTATAGTCGTCCTCCCCTTTTTTGCCTTGGTTGTACGCGATTTGCCTGTGAGTTGTGTGTGCGCGTATTTCCGCATCCCCCTTTTTGTTATGATTGTTATCGGTGATTTTGTTAATGACGGCTTTTATGATAAAGAATTTTCATGATTTTTTGAAGAATTTGCTTAAAAAATTGGTTTTAAACCAAAAAGTACTTGCCTTGCTCGATCTATTATGTTTATTTGGTACTGGATTGTTAGCAGGGGGTATTTTGTTTGTCCACCTAACCTGTTAATAATAAATGATGTTTTTAATAGTGCGCTTAAAGTTTTTGCTTACCCAGAAAGGTACAAAATTATTTGAAGCGTTTTTGAAAAGGGGAAAAGTTTATATTTTTGAGCATTTTTCATACGTGTGGTTACGTACTTTTAAATGTTTCGAGAACTTTTATAGTTTGTTATAGTAGCATGTTTTTTTGTGAACTGCATATCTAAAACTGTGTAAATTCTAAAAATGGTCTATATTTCGTTATTGGGCCCGTACGAGATAAATAGTTCCCGCTTCTAATGGTTCAGGGCCGCAGATGAATAGTTTAAACTTTATTTTATTTCAGAATTACGGGTCGTCAATTCCAATGTTCTCGGACTGTCTGCTGATCATCGTGATAGCGATCGGGACGGCGCTGGCGGGTGAAGGGCTGACATGGCTGCTCGTCTACCGAAGCGATGAGTACAAGCGGTTAAAGGTAATTTTTTGCTATTGGATTTATTCTGGTTCCTCACCATATCATTTTAGAACGACATGGAGCGCAAGACGAAGAAGCTCGAACGAAAGCGGGAGGCCGTCACCGACGCCTTTGAGAGCAAGACGGCCAAGCGAAAGATTGACCGCGAGGAGGAGAAGTTGAAGGTGAATTTTCGTGTTTTTTTTTCCAAATATAATACGTTTTTAGGCCACCAACCGCGACATGTCCATGTTCAAGATGAAGTCGATGTTCGCCATCGGTATCTGCTTCACGGCGCTCCTTTCAACGTTCTCCTCGATTTTCGAAGGTATTGTTTAATATTACAGCCTTCTTACTCTATTAAATTCAGGCCGTGTGGTCGCCAAGCTGCCCTTCGTCCCGATCTCATTCGTCCAGGGGCTCAGCCACCGCAATTTGGTAATTTTCAAGATCTTTTCAAAACTTTTTTAGCCTGGCGATGACATGACCGACTGCTCGTTCATCTTCCTCTACATCCTGTGCACGATGACGATTCGCCAGAACTTGCAGAAGATGCTCGGCTTTGCGCCCAGCCGCGCAATGAACCGGTTCGTGATTTTCAAGCATATTTATCACTGGTTCTTTCGCATTATCGGGAGGGGGGCAACTTTTTCCTGTAAGCCCAGAAATCCTTAGCCGAATCATATGGAGTGTTTTATTAGTGTTTTAGCAAAATTTAGCCATATTTTAAGTCGAAAACAATTAAAAACCCTTAAAAATTTTTTTAGTTGATTCTGATCCTCTATCGGTCATTTTCGCTCGAAAAACCGAGTTTTTGGTTTTTTAATAAAATTTTTGGAATGTTTAAGTTTAGGAATAGTAAAAAATCAGAAACATTTCCTCTATCTACATTCGAAAAAGGAAAGGAAAAAAGTTGTTCCCCCCCCCCCCCCCCGATAATGCGAACGAACCCGATTTTTCTATTTCTATTTTTATAGCAGAAATAACGAATTTTTATTTAGCCAACAAGGCGGCGGTCTCTTCAGCCCACCCCAGCAACAGGGCCAGTTCACCTACTTCCGATAAGAGGCTCCCCATCCCACACCCAGTTCAACGACTTCGTCATTCGAAGGCCAATTTCCAATTTGTGTAGCTCACCCCGATCACGTTTTTCCTTAATATATATTTCTTTCGCTGTGATGCTCAAAAATTTGTCCGCCCTCGATTCCTCTCCAAACATTTGGTATCTCTTTCTTTCTTAATAGTAGTCATTGTGATTCTTTGTTTGTCCGTTGTTTTTGTATAAATATTTGTTTTCGAGATTTGAGGAGAATGAGGAATTTTGAAGGCTTTCAGCCAGCTTATTTTCTTTTTTTTGATTTGCACGTTATACTTATGAAGAATGGTGGTCCGGGGCAAAATCCGGGTGAATCAACTTTTTTCCTATGGGTACAGAAATACTCATTAAAGTAAACGTAACTATTTTAATAGTGTTTTCGATAAATTTTAACTATGTTCCAAGTCGAGAAACAATAAGAAGATTGCAAAAGAACCGACTTCTTTTGATCGTCAGGATTTTGTGATAACTAGCAGTTTATCAGGTTATAATTTTTATATTTTGAAGAAATAGAGAACAATATGAAACCGATACAAAATTTGCGCATTTTAGAGCTTTGTCAATTAGAAGTTTTGCGAAAAATTTCGAATCGAAGCTTGGAAAACGTGAGGTTTTTATTCATTAACGTCTACTGCGTATAGCCTTAAAATTTTTGCTTGTTTTTCATACAAATATGATTTTTCTACATTCCCTTTTTCCAGATAATACCATGGCCGAGAGCTCAGAATCGCGCCTTCGCCAGCTGATGGTCGGCGACGAGGAGGACATGGACAGCGAGGGCAATCGTGGCGGCGACGCCGACACGAACGGCGACGACGAGGCGGAGGAGTTGTTGCCGAACACGGGACTCGGTAGGGCCTTGGACGGGTTGCTGACGTCGTGGACGAGCCTACTATCGAATACCGCTACCCACCGCACCCCGCAAGCCACTACAATTGATCACGTCAAGGAGGTCTCCGAGATTAACGTCAAGAATTTCCGCGATGCTTGCCAAGAGGTATGAAATTTTGAGATGATGCGATAGCCATATTCTATTATAGGTGAATGCCGAATTCGCGAAAATCTCCGTGCAATGGTTCCAAGAGCATCCAGAAGAAGCTGAGCAGGAGCGGATCAAGAATCTCGACGCGGCCATCGCACGACAGGCTACGGTAATTGAAAATTGTAGTGCCTTCTCAATATGATTTTTTGTCGATTTGTGTCCTGGGCTCAGCATGTTATAGGATTTTGAAAAAATGTGCGAGATTACAAGCGAGTTTTGAGGTCTCCAAATAGTGTTTTCAGATTTCAAGGTGTCTATTTGAGCGAAAATCGACGATTTTTTGTTAAAAAAATATATTTGTCACTTTTGAATAGAAATTCCGAGCTTTTTGCGTTGATGAATAGTGAAAACGGTGAAAAGACCTCTATTTGTTTAGAAAAATTGGATGTTAGTAAAAAGTCTTTTTGTCAGCTATCTCTGTTTGAAGTTTTTCACTTTCATCTTTCCAGCTGTTCGGCCGAATCCCTGGAGTCACGCAGCGTCGCGTCGAAGAGTACACCTCCACCGGCCAACAGCAAGACGACAGCCGAAATTATTAATTTTCTCAGAAATTTTACATTTTTCACTTTGTTCTGTATTTTCTGATCTCATTCCCGATTCCCGGCTTTTCATTTGACTCACCTCTCGTTTTCCCTCTCTCCATGCTGTATCTCCTAACTTCCACGTATATTCGGCGCTTGACTTCCTCGATCGGCAACTTATCCGCCATTACGGGTGGTAATAAATGGGTAATATCTCGCTGTTTTTAACGAAAATATATATTTTTTTTTTTTGGAAATCAAGGTTTATGCAGATTCGTACATAGAAGCAGAATAAATAAACGAGGAATTGGGTGACTAGGCAAAAAGGGAAAATGGAAGAAGAATAAAATAACAAAGTAGCTGATTATGCTTGTTGTGCTTGGCCGAGGACGATGGGCATCAGTTCGCCGATGTGGGATACCTGAAATGGCTCGGTTCCGATAGTTGTTGGAGCGCTTTGAAAGTGTCGATTATTCGAAACTAACGTGATTTTATAATGTTATTGGATCGGTTTTTCGTCTAAGTTTTTGCACCTACCAAATGATCGGCATGCGGAAGCAGCTCATCCTTGCCGCCGACGCCGGAGAGTACGGCCACGGTGCCGCGCAGCTTTGCCGAGCGGCCCATGCCCATGTCGGCGAGTGTATCACCGACCATTAGTGCGTCCTGGAATTACCGTCAGTGAATACGTAGTTAAAACGATAAATTTGATTTTTCCAACGAAAATTGTCGATTTTCATACAATTCTCATTGGAAAATACTTGTAAAAAACATTCCCAACCTGCGGCTCAATCCCCAGCGCGTTGCAAATCGACAGCGCGTTTCTTGGGCTTGGCTTCGGCTCGGCGCCCGTATCATCTCCACACACCACCACGTCGACCAGCGACTCGACGCCGAACTCGCGCAACATCGCCATCGTGCCGAGTCTGTACATAGGCAAATTTTTGGTTCTTTCCTGTTAACGGGGGGAGGGGGAATTTATCGGGGAGAACTAAAAAAAATTTAAACCACTTGCTAGCATTTTACGCAGTTTTTAGATGTAAGCGGCCATTAAAAATTTCTAGCTTTTGCTCAAAAACGTATGAAAAATCGCGAAAAGCTCAACATTTTCAATTTTAAAAAAGTTTTAAGAGGGTAAATCATAAGTTCAGCAGTTACCCACCGACTATCCGCCGTGCATATCGCAATCTTGACGTCATGGCGTTTCAGGGAGCCGAAAAGGCTCTGCAGATCGTGGATGGCTCGCAGCGTATCTGCCGAATGCGTCGCGCAATCCACGACCGTACTGCTGACGATCAGCTCCGCCTAGAAAGGAGCTGTTTTCAACGTTTGGCCGAGCTTCGGGCGATTCGTCACACCTGTTCCCGATTCAGCCCGTGCTCCATCAGCAACTGGGTGATTTCGTCGCGGATTTGGCGCATCGTGCCCTCGGCGAGGAGCCCGGAACGGACCTAGAAACGTAGATTTATTAATTAAAAACCGATTTGAGGATAGTTCAATAGTATTTTTTTTGTAAATTTTTTTCAGTAAAATAAACCCGTTTTCTAGATGGAATCATATTAACAACTACGAAAAAAATTATTAGAAGTTTTCTAAGATTTATTGAGGGTATTTTATCGCAAAAATCACCTTCATCTCCCTGGGGCAAAACCCGAGCAACCGGTACACCTTGTCGGAGATCGGGATCTGAGCTAGCTCCTCGAGTCTCCGAGCCGTTTGCAGGGTCCACGGGACCCACATCGAGTGGAAGCAGATCAAGGTACCGTCCTTGTCGAAGATCACCAGAGAGGCTTTCTAAATCGAGCTTTTCTATCGCTCTCTCTCTCTCTCTCCCTCTCTCTCTCTCTCTCCTTTCCTTACCTTCGTCCTAGCGACCTGGTTAGCGAAAAACGGTTGAAAGGAGATGCTGGGAATTGAACCGACGAGTTCTTGATTTTTCGGGCTTGATGTGGAGATTAGCCGAAGTGCTGGACCTAAAACAGGCATTTTCTCTCTCTCTCACTCTCTCTCTCTCTCTCTCTCTCTCTATCTCTCTCTATCTCTCCCTCTTTTACTAAACCCTAAAAGACTCACTTGAAGCCACAATAGCCGGCTGTAGATTCCGCAGCACTCCGCGGCTGAGGATTCTGGGAAGTGAGCGTGCCGGATGCATGGTTGGCGGCTAGAAAACAGCATAGTACGACTCGCTACGGTAGGTGATGTAAAATGCAAAGAGCGTAAACGGAAGTACTTTCCAAGTACGTCGAACACCAAAATACACCAAGTAACGCACAAAAATCCATAGAAATCGAATTTCTGAGGAAAGTACAAAGGCAAAAGCTTTAGAATAGCCTGGATACTATAAATTTAATTTTGCGATTTGGCTGGTTCTAATTTCTACGGATCGAACTTTGATTCCAAGTACATTCAAACCCTAAAATCCTTAAAAATGCACCCAGATTCCGCCGTTCCCTTTTAGATACAGCCCGGGTTACGGTATCCTTTTAGCAAATAGTAAACCAGGGAAAAACCGTAGTTTTTGAGCCGACACGGGTCCCGCAACGGAAACAGGAACCCCTGGCCTTTTGCCCGGTTTGCACCGCGTTCTACTATGAATTGGAAGTCGTAAAACGGTTAAAAAACAGAAATGCTAAAAAATGTACCCATGCTCTACCGTAGCTCCACCTCCACCCTATATACACCCAAGATGACCTCGCCTTGATCGCAATCACCACGTGCGGATCCGGGGGCGTGATTCTCGGCATGAAAACAGTTTTTTGGCTTTTGCCGATTTTTGGAGAAATGGATGGGATAGGTGGCTCCATGCCAAAAGGCTTCCGGCCAGTGATACCGTAACCAATCACATGTGATGGGGGCTTGCGTGGGTCAGATCAGCTGTCCATGAAATAGCTCCAAGCGCATTGCACATGCGAGAGAGAGCGAGGGAGAGATAGAGAGAGAGATAGAGAGAGTGAAAGAGCGAATGAGAAGGGAGGGAAAGAGAGAGAGAGAGAGAGAGAGAGAGAGAGAGAGAGAGAGAGAGAGAGAGAGAGAGAGAGAGAGCAGGAAGTAGATGAACTGAACGGAACCGGCGGAAAAAGATTCTAGTCGGTAAACAAGTCGGGGTGGACCATTTTTCTGGAAAAAATGCATGCGCCGGGCACAAAAAGCACAATTTTCTGACAGAACACCTAGAAAACTAGCGTTGATTTTTCTTTTAATGGAGAGGCAGAAATAAGGAGATTAAGATAGATTTAGATTAATAAGGACGGAGTTTGGACTTAGCTTGCTGCCACCATCCCCTTAAAAGCGCTTTTTTTGTTCATTGCAAAAAGGTAAAAATAATTTTTTGGAGTTGAGGTACGTCGTAGAAGCTAGAGAAACAAGTTAAAGGAACTTGCAAGCGGCGGAATCGACCGCCTCCATCGTCTAGGTCTAGACAGCAACGCGCCTCCCCGAAATACGGGGGTTAGAGTCTTCATAAATTCGCGTTCACCACGTCTTTTGGAGCGTCCGATAGCGTAACTGTCTAGACCTAGTTGATGGCGGGGGCGGATATCCATGCTTTTTAGGCCTTTTAAAGGGTTGTGGAAAGCAAAAATAATCTCTTATTTCGTTCGAAAGTTCGCTGAAAAAATAATTATACGAGCTATCTCCCTCACACTCTCACACACACTCTCCTACCCACCCACTCCATCACTCACTCACTCACTCACTCACTCACTCTCTCTCTCTCTCTATCTCGCTCTCGCTCTCTCGTTCTCTGGCCCTCTCTCCGCTCGAGCGCTCCGGGTGGTCCAATTTTTTTTAGCCTTCCACCCGGCCTAGAACCGGATTTTCAAAAGGACATGTGCAGATCATTTATTGAATTTGTATGGAAGGATCACATGCATTTACCCACCCAGCGGGAACAGCTGTAGGATGTCGGCGAAACGGGAAGAAACGGAAAGAGAGATCTCATTTTTAAGGGAATACTTGGATCACTGGAACCGTGGTGTTGAGGCGGAACTATCAAACTCAATGTTTTTGGAAGCCCCGGGTGGTGCAAATTGAACCTTTCAAGGGAGGATGAAGCCTGAAAATCGACCCTCGCAGCGGCTAGATCTAGACGACTAACCGCCACGAAAAACCGAGGTGAAAGCGCTTTTAGATTTCTGCCATAAACGCAGATATCCACGTGGTTTCAACTTTAGGTGGTTGGACACTTTTTGGAGTATCGAGTAGTTGTCTAGACCTAATCAAGGCAAGGGTCGAGTCATTCCCTTTAAACCTTGGGAATTCAGCTAATTTTCGCTTCGGTGAAAGCCGAATGATGCTAGCTGCCATAGGGGCGCCTTGCCTGTCCCTTTAAAGCGGGAAAGCTCTACGTTTAAAGGCGGACAAGCTTCACATCGGCTAACAATAAGCGCTGGGCGCGGCCAAATCCATCGAAGAAAACTAACTTCAATAAACTTATGATTATGTTACGTCTACACCTTTAGAGGGTTAGACAAGGCGCCGAGACTGCCGTTGCCAGAAAATAAATATATTCGTGGGTTGTATGTCCCTTTGAATGTGGAGTTGTTCGTATTTTTAACGAGGTGATACTAAAAGGTACTGAAAACGCTTGATATAGCCATTAACTGACAGCACGGAATGCCTCGTTTGAGCTAGTGATTCTTGAACCTCCTAATCTCTTATAAGCGATCCGGGGGGTTCTTCGGATCCGCTTTTTGCAGGGAACACGGGTACCATGATACTTTGCACCGGGGGAAACCCCCGGTGCAAAACGAGGAGGCGGGTTGAATTAGAATTACGAAGTGATAAGGCTGAAAGGTTCTTGTGTATTCCCAGGGGGGGGGGGAACCAACTTTTTTCCTGGCGGCCCCGGTCGGCCTAGTAATCAAATATAAAATGTTTTCGCATTGTTTTTAGTAAAATTAAGCGTATGGAAACGGAAAAACTTTTAAAAAAGTTAGAAAAACCCTTGAAAAAGTCGACAATTTGGTCATTTTTGGGCCGAAAAAAAATTATTTTTCGACCTAAAATTAAATTTTTTTAATTACATTTTTTTTATGTTGAGGAATAGCTATAGACAATTTAGAAACACTTCCACTATTTATGTAAAAAATCTAGGCCTGGGCCGAAAAAAGTTCGGTTCCCCCCCCCGCAAATACTTCCCCCCCCCCCCGGGAATACACAAGAACCGGCTGAAAGAATTGCCGTTACGGTGTCGTAGCACATTATGCAAGAGAATAAAGCTAAGCTCTATAGTTGTGAATTAAATGCACATTTTAAGGGCCTTAAAATCGCTAAAAGAGAGCAAGATTCGGCTAAAAATCTCCTCTCTTCAAAGTAAGCCTAAGCCTCAGCCTAAGAAGCCTGAAAATGCGACAAAAAAAAATAAAAATCCGGAGGCGATGTTCTAAATTATTTCTATTAACTAGGTAAAAAGTTATGAATTCAAGAATATCTAGTTAGATATTTAAAAAGTGCAAAATTGAGCAAAGGCGATGCTCTTTAAAGGTGCCAGCCGACCCGGTCGATCTTTGTACCCTTTGTCGATAGGATGGGGCAGACAAGGAAGAGAGAGAGAGAGAGAGAGAGAGAGAGAGAGAGACAGAGAGAGAGAGAGCGAGAGAGAGAGGGAGAGAGCGAGAGAGACGGAGAGAGCCACAGCAATTACGGGGAGACGGGACGATATGTCAATGACATACGCATCTTATTACGGTGCCTCAGACGGGTTTGCCTCGGAATTGTCTGGGTGTCGGGGGCTGACGTCAGATTGGGGTTACGGTAGCAAATACAGAGCATTTTTTGGGAAAATTAGAGGGTTACCGTGGCTAAGGAATTTCAAAAATGGGACTGCACCTCCTGCAAAAATTAGACTGGCGGAATGCTCGATGAGCACTGGCTATCTTGGAAGGGATATTTTTGGGTTTTAGCTCTGGGTTGCTCTCGCTCTCTCTCTCTCTCTCTCTCTCTCTCTTTCCCTCTCTCTCATTCTCTAGCTAGTCGATCATTCGTCAAACACCGACTAATCTAGACGCCACACTTAGTGGGGGCGGATTGATGAAAAAAGCGTATCGTTTGGTAATCGAGAGCCAGAGAGAGAGAGAGAGAGAGAGAGAGAGAGCGAGTGAGAAAGAGAGAGAAAGAGATGAACAGGAAAATCATCATCTATCCAACGAGCAGGAAAACGACAAACGAGGACCGCGAAAAAATTGATAACTTTGCAGGCAGGGGCGTGAAAGGATAGCAAATTCTTGGGTAAGCAGAACTGGGTGCAAACTCTTCAAAACCGATGTATAGCGAAATTCAAAGCGGAATTTTGTGATTTTTTAGGAACGGTATTGGCAAGAAATCGGAATTTCTACGTTATTTGGCTTTTAAAGGGGTTTGCAAGCGCGAGAATCAACCCCTTCCATCGACTAGGTCTGGACAGCTACGCGGCACTACTAAACACCCAAAGCGCAAGCTCATCTGAATTGTATATAAAAAGTCCAAGGCTGATCGCTTTGAAAGTACGAATAATGCGTGTAATTTGGTACGTCTCGTAGCTATCTAGATCTAGTCACTGAAAGTTGTAGATTTTCTGGCTTCCTAGTCCCTTTAAAGGTAAAAAAAACAGCTACCTCAACCAAACAATCAGGTCAGAACACAAAACCCAGCTCCAAATCCCAGTAACCTTTTATAGTCTGCTGCCGTGTGTATTTCGCGAACGCTGGTGCTACTTTCTGCGTCAACACCTCCCCCGCACACACAGCTCTGGCTGATATCAA